TTCTAGCACTCAATAATAGTCGCTGAAAGTGTTTGCTACATCTCCCATTCTCTTTATTTTTCTTTAAATATAGAGGGTCTGGCACAAGTAATGCCCCTTTTTATTATAAAATATTTTCTTACAAAGTCATAAGCATGTAATTCTGTAACATAACAATATCACACTCAAGCACACCCTATGACATTTTAGGTGAAATGTTCAAATTAAAACTGTAAATTATTACACCCGTCTTATTAGGCTACCAACCACACTCAAGCAGGCCTTACTTCTGCCCATCCCTGTGTTTTGGGGTTTACTACAGCTCCAGCTTTCTGAATGCTCAACGTGCTCACTAAAACACAGCACACTTTTTAGGTTAACACTTCTGAAAGAGAAAGTACTTACTAGTGTTAAACCGGAAAGGTTAGGGGACTTTTATGTTACTAAATATGTTACATGCAGACAGTTCCTGAATGATACACACACAATGTATAAATAGCATATGTATACTGCTCTCTTCTTTTCTTACCATGTGCCTTTGAAAACTACGTGAGCTCTTACAAAAGACCTTGGACATTTTTATCAATACATATTTTCTCATGGTACTAGCTGAATGATAGATGCTAAATAAATAATCATTGATTTCTTAATTCATAGTTCATGTAAGCATTCAATTTGGAAGTTAGGCAACACTTTTGTTTAATTTTTAATTTCTTTTCCTCTTGTCATCTTTCTTGTATATCCAGTGGAATACTGGTTGCCATGGCCGTACATAGCAAGCCTGGAGGCAATACTGATTCTAGTGTGAATATGGGTATTGCTAATGTTTACTCACTTTGTTTCTAATATATTTTCCCCATAAATCAAATAAATAATTTGCTTAATCAACCTTTTTATGTTGCTTCAAAATCCTAATTATAGCCTTTTTTTCTGAATGAAGATTATGTAGTTATGTAGATTATCCACTGTCGGGTGTAAATCGTAACACAAGAAGAATAAAAAGCCATCTTTGCAACCAGGGCAACATTTACAATAGAATCTTACCAAATAGAATGATTGGCAATTTTAAGGCCTCACATATATAGTTTTACTCCTGGAGTTATAGCTGGAATGGAAACTCTAAGGAGCATATAGAAATTCAGGATTTTCCAAGCTTGAACTATTATAAGCTTATAGTTTAAGGACTTTATTGTAGTGTTAGCAAAGGGGGCAGAGTTTTGTTAAACTTGTTTTGGCTGGTGAAAATGATTTTTCAATTCTGTTTGATAAACAGCTGTGTGAAATCAATGGAACTTGATGGTTTCAGCATTGTCTTGTATACATTGCCTGATTGTAAAATCGATTGACAAATAGAAGTTGTGCGGCATTCAGTGGAGGCATCACAGGGAGAAATACAAATGGTTTTCATGCCTCTATCCAAACTAGTTCTTTTAACATCAAGTTTGTCTTTCAAGATAAAAATTAAGAGGAATATGTTACTGATTATAGGTAGCTTGTGTCAAACAAATACACGAGGAATTGTCATTGAAAAAAATATTTCCAAGCCCTGGCTGGCATAGCTCAGTGGATTGAGCGAGGGCTGTGAACCAAGGCATCGCAGGTTCGATTCCCAGTCAGGGCACATGCCTGGGTTGCAGGCCACGGCCCCCAGCAACCGCACACTGATGTTTCTCTCTCTCTCTTTATCTCCCTCCCTTCCCTCTCTAAAAATAAATAAATAAAATCTTTAAAAAAACATTTCCACAACATAACTGTGTGTAGTAAATGCTCCAGAGACCAGAAGCTTTGGAAAAGTAGAGTAGTCTGATTAATCAGATTTTCTGTTTATTGGAGGATTTTTTTGTAGAAAAATATTGTTCATATGGTATATGCAAAACATAGCGGCTTATTGATTGAACCATAGACTGTTCTGAAGTGAGGGTCATTTTCTGAATATGAGTTATAATACCTTTTTTTTAATTTTTAAAGATTTTATGTATTTTTAGAGAGAGGGGAAAGAAAGGAGAGGAGGAGAGAAACATCAATGTGTGGTTGCCTCTCATGTACCCCCTCCTAGGGACCTGGCCCACAACCCAGGCATGTGCCCTGACTGGGAATCAGACCGGCAACCCTTTGGTTTGCAGCCTGGCACTCAATGAACTGAGCCACGCCAATTCTTCTTTTAAAATTTTTTATTGTTCTATTATAGTTGCCCCAATTTTCCCCCACTGTTGTCCCCTGCCCTGCCCACACCCCTCTCTGCTCCCACAGTCAATCCCCACTCCGCTGTCCACGTCCATGGGTCATCCACACTTGCTTGTTGATTAGACCATGCCCCTTTTTAGCAATTAAATGAATATTATTAAAAGGTAATGTCTTACAAAGCACTATGCTCTATATTTCAGCAGAGGTAAAATAATGATTAATATACTGCACCTGTTTTAGAAGTTTCCAGACTGTGGGTTTCTTAGATGAACATATATTTATAATGAAAATTAATAATGATAATCTTCTACTCTTCTGCCTCTCTTATATCTGCAGAATGCAACACATTAATTAACATATTAAACTTATATTAATAGATATTTCTCTCAAAATTTGCTTAAGATTCTATAGAAAACACTAAATACTCTTTAAAAACCTTTTCATTCAGGTGTTTACATATTGATTTTTATATATCAATATTAACGTAAGTATTTTATTTTCAATTGAAAGAAACTTGTAGAATACAAGTTTTACATAAATTCTAGTGTGTTATTATATATATTTTAGAAATGTTGTGGCAGGCTTATTAATTAATGCTTAATTAAGCCCATTAGTAGTTATCTTAAAATATAAGCTTGTCTTCAAAGGAAATTAAAATAATCAAAACCTGTATTTTATGAACCCATATAATAGTAGCTTTTTACAGCAGACCCTTTACAAGTTTACAAATATTTTGTTATAAATTTACTGAGAGTAATGTCATGAAGATAGTGGGGTGTGGAAGGGGGAGCGTCCCATTCAGGAACAAGTACAAAGGACCCATGTGCATGGGCAACAGGGTGGGGACTGTTGGAGCAGTGGGGCGGGGGTGTTGGGGCAGGGGAGAGCCACAGGGAAAAAAGTGGGGCAACTGTAATTGAACAAGAATAAAACATGAAAAATAATAAATGAAATAAATTTAAAAAGAGCTTATTTCAAAATAAGGTCACATTCACCATTACCAGGCATTTGGACTTCAATAGATCTTTTAGAGGGACACAATTCCACTTTTCAAAGAGTATTTCTAGAAAATATACTGTTTGATGAGCTTTCAAAATCCAGGCAATGGTTTGTGTTTTGTTTTTATAATGTGCTTCCACTATGATTAAAGGTCTACATTATTTTTCATGCCATTTAGATTCTAACTTCTATTATTTTTAATGTGTCAGTAGGCAAAAGCAGACTTTAAGGAGGCCTTAATAATTAGAATACGCGCATCTGTTTTTTTTCCTTTCTGTACTGAATCCTGCTCCATGGCACACCACATCGGGATCATGCTACCCGTCCTTCTGTGTCCTGTGTGTGTGTGATGCTCAGTGTGAATATGACATATGGCTTCAAAGTTGACACTTTCTCTCTTGCCTTAAATTTTATGTATGTTATATAACTTACTCAAAGAATATTCACTCATTATCCATTTTTTAAAACTTTACATACTATTATTATAAGATTTATAATATAGTTTTTCAGTCCATTAATGATCCAATTTGGCGCATTAAATGGTACAGAGTTTATTCAGGCAGGTGTCTAAGCCATGAGAAGCAGTGGCTAAACCTCTGACTTCTAGAGGACAGAAAAGATGCCAACACACACACAACCAAAACCAACACACACATGTGTGGACACTCACGTGCTCACATATGAACAGATACAACCATACCTCAAAGATGGCAAACAAATCATTTATTTCCAGTTTATTATACCTCAGAACATTCATGAATGTATATGGTGATGACCCTATTTATATCAACAAAAGTTTGTATTTTATTACACAGTCTTCTGTAAATGTTTCAGTACAAGTTGTAAAATAGTTGTATTTTTTTTTATTGTTGTTCGAGTACAGTTGTCTCCATTTTCACCCCACCACTCCCCTCCCACCGCACCATCCCCGCTTCTGGCCCTCAATCCTGCCCCCTTTGGCTTTGTTTTAAAAGGGAGTATTTTGAGGTTTTAAAAGCACAAGTTTTGGGGAGAGAATTTACTCAGTGAGAACAGCTTATTTTGCAATAGAAAAATACCATTTTTAAAAATAAAAGTGTTACTTTGATCATTTTTTAATTTTCTTTTACTTGCATATGTAGAATTTATCCTGTTGGAAATTAAATTATAAACCCAAAAGAAATGTTGCTTAAATGAAATTAAATGTATTTACATGCTTTATATGTTCATAGATAACGTGATTTTAAATTTATCTCTTTGCTATAGTTTCAGTAGCACCTATGTCTTCTTACTCTCTCTTGTTAGTACCTGCTATTTATAAATATACATGTGTAATATTATATGTGGAATCTAAAATACTGACAAAGAAACAGAGAAGAATGATGATTTCCAGTAGCTCATGGGTAGCAGAAATGGGAGAGATATTAGAATGTAAACTTCCAGTCATAAGATGAATAGGGCAATCGAATGTACAGCATGGTGATCATAGTTAACAATAATGTATTATACACTTTAAAGTTGCTAAGAGAGTTAATCTTGTGTTTTTACCACAAAAAAAAATGGTAGTTATGGGAAGTGATGGAAGTGCTAGCTAGCTATGGATAATCATTGTGTGACATCTATATCACATCAACATGGTGTACACCTTAAAGTTACACTGTGTTATATCTCAATGAGTCTGGGAAAATTAAAGTGAAAATATTTATCAGGGTGGGTTACAGGTCTTAATAACTTTTACAATATTTGAACTCAGGGCATTGCAGTTGAATTGTGGAGCACAGAGGTGAGGAAGATACTATTGTATTGCACAGTTCATATCAAGGTTACCTAACTCCCCGTGCATCTTCTTGCCTTGGCAGTGTGTGCTGGAACGGAGAACAAGCTGAGCTCTCTCTCTGACCTGGAGCAGCAGTACCGGGCCTTGCGCAAGTACTATGAAAACTGTGAGGTGGTCATGGGCAACCTGGAGATAACCAGCATCGAGCACAACCGCGACCTCTCCTTTCTGCGGGTAAAGCTGTTTCTTTCTTTCTCTTCTTTGTGAGTGAACCGTGGTGCCATAATGCATAAAGGTAGACCAGCTTGCTTGCACCTGATGACTCTGCTCTTCTGGCCAGCAGGGACTCTTGGAGGCAAAAGATAACAGGTGCCAACGTACACCCAGAGACAGAACAAGAGTCACAGTGTCATAAAGATGGGCATCCTGAGTTTAGAGCAGCTACTGTGGCCCTAAGATTGATAAAGATCTTTCAGCATGCAGTGCATGGTATCTAGCCAGTCTGTCATTTTCTGAGTTACAAGCAAGAGGAAAACTGAGAGAGTCGGTGGACCAATCAGATATTAATTGTAACTTTAGCTAGAAATCTACTTTTCTGCTCCTTTGTCTATCATTTTGGAAATTTTAGATTATTTTACATTACCATAATGAGACCAATATTGTTACCTTTGGAAGAACAATGATGTTTGTTTTGGAAAACCTGCGAATTATTTAAAGTAGACTCACAGGTAATTATAAGTACTTTGTGGATCAACATAAATGCATACAGAGTAGGGGGGGGAGTAAGTTTACAGTAGTTTATATGGAAAATAATATAATCATTAATCAATAATAACACAAGATTAACTGTTTTATGTACTCACAACTGTACCCTCCTTTTGCTCCACCCTGTACATGTACATACAAATTACCCAGACAACTAGCGTCCTTTTACAAATTTGTTTAGCTTGCACTGATTCTTCTTCTGTTAAACAGGCTGTATTAGTGATTAATGCCTACAGATTTTTGTGTTTTGCTTTAACCAGAATAGGTATATGAAAACCTGAACTCCAAAGGGACTTGGGCAAAGTGACATGGGGATGTGGTTGTTTGTATAATTTGTGGTTTATTCTTCATACAAGAATCAATAGGATACATAGCATCCACAGGCTACATAAGATCTTGTTTTCAATAATGTTTACACATTTCTCTTGCATAAATCAAGTGAAACGCAATGTGAAAACTGATACTAAGGTAACCTAGTTTAGTGGGTAGTAAATCATGGAAATTTGAATAATTCTATACTTATATAAGTAGTAAAAAATAGTGATTTTAAATGCTTTGAATATAATGAACGTGTCTAGAAATAATAACAACTGTAGTAAATGAACCATCTCAAAACCTAAAGAACATTATGAGGTACATGATACCTGTCTTTAAAATGATTCTTGTGTTAGGTATAGTGTAGGAAATAAAGGTTTTTATACTATACTGCTTAGGTGATGTGACTCTGGTGCTATGAGTTGTATGTCAAAGCTTTTTTAAAGAATTATGTGTAATTATGACATACTTTTCATCAAAAGTAGATAGTAATAGTTACCTAAATTCTAGAATGAGAGGGCCTATAAAGAACTTAACATTTTCTTTTTCTAGTTTGGACTGTTATTTTGAGAAGGGACACATACAAATTATCCCATAACAGCCCCTCAAAAGAATATATCTGAGTATTAGTTATTAAACTTTGCTCATAAGCTTTTAACTTGATTATTTTCAGGTAGATTTTATTCTTCAACATCGAAATGAGCTCTTCATGGTGTATGAGCTGATTTGTTGATTTGTTTAGAGATGCCAAGGAACTCAGTGATGTTGTAGAAAAAGAAAAACTGAGCTCCAAATCTGGAATCCAGGGATATAAATATTTTAAATAGTGTATAGATCAAAATAATGTGAAAAATATTTCAAAGGCAATCAATCTTAGATCCTTGTTTTTTTTTTCTCTTAAGATTTATTTGCTTTTTTGCTATGTGGTATTTTTCCAACTAAGAATTTGTTCTTATACAAGAATTAATAGGATATATAGCATAGATATATATTTTACAGGCTTAATAAAATATAGTCATCAGTATTGTAAGTAACAGTCTTTAAAATAAGTAACATAAAGAGCCTGGCCAAATAGCTCAGTTGGTTAGACTATCATCCCCATATACCAAGGCTGTGGGTTTGATCTTTAGTTGGAGCACATATAAGAAGCAACCAATGAAGGCATAAACAAGTGAAACAGCAAATTGATTTTTCTTTCTCTTAATCTTTCTCTCTAGGAATCAATAAATTAAAAAAATTAAAGAAATAAGTAATAGAAAACTCATATATTTTTAAATTTTATAATTTTGAGCTCTTGATAAAAATAGACTTTAGTTAATTTTTAATCTTTAGAAACAAAATATGAAATACAAATTTTTGAGAAATATGGTCTATGTGGTTGGATAGTCGATTTACTTAGGAACAATTTTGAAGTAAAAAATAAGTTAATAGAAGGAACACATTTGGGAAATAATAAATTAAGGATCAGGGTTTCCACCTGGAGCCAGAAACAAGTTGTTTATTTAAAACAGTAATTTTTGGTTTCAAAGTTGCATCTTAAAGAGTTCATATAAACTTTGTATTAACCCATGCATTCATTTAAAGATAACTTGAATAGGCTTTTTTGCTTCTTAATACCATCTTTTTGTTTCATTTATTTGTTGTTCCTATGGAAAATAACCATTTCTAAGTGTGATGTGTGTTTATTCACTCAACAAACAATCTTAGCCCAAGGATACAATAGCAAGTACTAGATTGTTCTCCATTTCCACAATCTTGTAGTGTTGTGGAGGGTTACAGTAATGTAATACATAAGTACTGCAAATACATGTTTGTATATGTATATATACTATGTACCACACATATTTTATACATGTACATATAGACATGCATAAAATTTTAGAGTTAAGACAGAAGAAAGAAACCAGAATATCAAAGGCATGTTCTTCTGTTAATAGACGATGTGGGTGCTGGGCCAAGAAAGGAATGGCTAACTCTGATGAATTCAGGAGCTTCCATCAAAGTGGAGCTTGAATGGAATCATTCCAAAGTACATCATCTGCCCAAAATGGACACATTAAAATAAGTAGAGTCCATGTAAAAGGAATCTAGTGATTTTATATTATACTATAATTTTAGTGTTTTGAATTGTGAGAGTAAATAGTAAACTTGCATTAACCTATCCTATGGATTGCATAGCCCTCAGGCAGATTTATGTAACTACAATTCATGGAGCAAGTCATGGAACTGTCATTCAGAGATATGTAGTTTTTCTTTCTCTACGAATGGCTCAAACCTATAATGTGTTTAGAAAGACATCAGGGATAGAGATCTCGGATTTCATTCTGGAATTCATTTTTGTCTGTAGGAACTTAAGAAATTACTTTTGTATTTGAAAGATTTTTCATACTTATGTTCAACTCTAGTTAGCAAAGCCATAAACCACTCTAATTTCTAAGATCTGTAAGAGCAGTTTACGCAGATACCTTGTTTATCTCTTTTACTATCTGATTAGTTGGTGTCATGGGAATGAACTAATAGTTCTTACACTCTCACTGGGAGTCTTGGGAGTTTTCTCTCCTGTGTCATTGCATTGGACTTTCTGGCCTCCACCCACATTTATAACTCAGTACTTCTAAAGAGGTACCAGACCTACCAGTTTTTATACTTTAAATTTATTTTCTGTTTTATATATTTAGTTAAGGAAATAAATATTAAGTGTAAACTAAATGGAAAGCAGGTTATATATATAGCACAAAATATATGTATAATATGAAGTGTTAACACCTATCCTTAACCAGTGCTATAATAGGTATTAATTTTTAATCTATTGCTTGAGTTTGTTGTGTGCAAATTGTTTTGGAAACAGTATTTATTATGATTATGAAGAGAAAAATTTATTAAGTAGCTGACTCACTGACCTAGGTTATTAAGAATATCAGTAATTCATTGAATTATACATTAATGATTATATATCTATTTTATACTATAAAATGAATAAAGATAAATTAATACATTGACATCTTTCTAAACAGTGGCAACAATATTCTATGCTTGACGGCAAAGGGCAATGAGATTGAAAACTATACTATTTAAAATACGTATTTTCCCTGGCTGGCATGGCTCAGTGGATTGAGTGTGGGCCGGCGAACCGAAGGGTTGCTGGTTCACTCCTCAGTCAGGGCACGTGACTGGGTTGAGGGGCCAGGTCCACAGTAGGGGACATGTGAGAGGCAACCACACTGATGTTTCCCTCTCTGTCTGCCTTCCCCTCTCTCTAAAAATAAATTTACAAACATATAATATAATATAATATAATATAATATAATATAATATAATATAATATAATATAATATAATATAATATATTTGAATTTCCTGGGGTATATATTGGTTAAGGAGGTAAATAGTGATGAAAGGAGATGAGATTTTGAGTGGTGATCACACAATACACTATACAGGTGATGTCTTGTAGAATTGTATGCTTGAAACTTATGTGATTTTATTACCAAATTTAAAGCAAAAAATATTTTTTAAAAGGTAACTTCTCAGATCATGAATAACACATGCTATGAATTTTGAAAAACATTAGCTGCTTTTATTGTATATTTGGCAGAGCTATAGGGATTTTTTTAATATACAAAAAATGCCATCTAAAACTAGTAAAAAAACAATTATTTATTTATAGCAATCATATAAATTGTTCATGTTCTTCTGCCAAAAAATATCCTAATTTTTTCATGTCCCCTTCTCCTTTTTTAAGTATATTTTATTGATTATGCTATTACAGTTGTCCCAATTTTTTTCCCTTTGCCCCCTTCCACCTGGTACCCCCCTTCCCTCCAGTAATCTCCCTACCTTAATTCATGTCCATGGGTCCATGGGTCCATGGCCCATGCATATAAGTTCTTTGTCTTCTCCATTTCCTATGCTATTCTTAACCTCCCCCTGTCTATTTTGTACCTACCAATTACACGTCTTAATTCCTTCCCCCTTTTCTCTGTTTTTCCCCTTCCCCCTTCCTGCTGATACCTTCCAAATGATCTCGATATCTATGATTCTGTTCCTATTCTAATTGTTTGCTTAGTTTGTTTTTGTTTTTTGGATTCAGTTGTTGATAGTTGTGAATTTGTTGTCATGTTAATGTTCATAGTTTTGATCTTCTTTTTCTTAAAT